CAAGTGTGTATTTGTCAAACTAGACACACATACGGGTTGAAACACACTAGAGATAATAGCAGCAAAGTGGCAGAAGTGATGATGATTATGGGTTCAACATCTGTTGGCTTACTGTAGCATTTTATTGCATCATCCAGTGTATTTTACCATGTGATTTCTTCTTCTTTTCTTTTTTTTTGCTCTGCTGTTTCCTTTACTTTATTTCTTTCCTTTACTTATTACCTTATCTATTTCCTTTAGTGGTTGCATTTCAAGTGTCTAAAATATATAAGCTGATTTTTATTTATTTTTTTGGTAAGGCTGTCAGTTCTTACTAGTGAAAAACTTATGGAGCGATATCTTTGAGATTTCTCACTGCAGCCTGTTACTGGCATCAGATAATTTACAGCTTTTCTTTTTTGGCCTTTTTTGTTTCCTGTGATTTTTTTTTTTCATGCACTGAGATGCATTCAAATTATTGCCAGCAGAAGAAACTGACCATATTTATGTATTTGTTGTTGGCTAAATATAATCTGTCCTCACTAAATAATGTTTATTAGTGATGCTAGGGTTACTAAATTTTCCAATATTTAGAAATTGAAAAGGAGCACTGATGTGGGATTTGTTTCAGGTGGTACCCCGTGTGTAGTTTTTAAAATCTGTATCAGATGATTTAAAAATACAACCCAAAAAAAAGTCAAAGGGATTGGTGGTATGTCCTCGGTGTGTTTGTGTGTACTAAAGTCCTTATTTAGTTTTTATGGATCTTTTCTTCTCAGTACTCTGCTGTGGTCATGTGTTGTTTTAGGGCAGTTATAGAGGGACTTTGGCTGCGTTTCCAAGGTGAACAGGTAGAGGTGTGTGTACGTCGTGAGAGGAGGAGGAGGATCCTGCAGACGCTGGTGTGGTTTATCATCACCCTCGTCCTCGCCCTCTTCATCCCAGACATTGGTCGAGTGATCTCTCTGATCGGAGGACTGGCAGCCTGCTTCATCTTTGTCTTCCCAGGTACACTGCACGCCATCTGCTCTGTTCGGGTTTTCTGTGCAGCTTTTATTGACGCGCTGTAAAGCCAACCCAGTGTTTCTTTAAATTTACAGGTTTGTGTTTGATGCAAGCCAAACTCTCAGAGACTGACGTCCGATCTGCAAGGTGAGGCTCTGCTGTAAACCTGCTGAGTTCTGGTCTTCTTTCTGCTTCTGTATATATTTCTTTCTTTTTTTTTTTTTCTTCTTTTTTTTTTTTTCAATCATGCAGTGGTTATTTTGCATGACACTCTTTTCTTATCAGCTGACTGCACATTCAAAACCTCAAAAGGCCCTCTGCATGGCTGTCATTGAGCTTGTGGGCATATTTGCACACTTTTTAAAACTGCATTAATACTGGATGCTACATTATAGTTACCCTTCACAATTACATGACTACAACAGATTACATACAGCATACCTTGATCTTAAGTAGGCCAGACCAGTGAAGCTCCCGTTTTTGCCGTTGTAAAAAAGTTTAACTACGCGTTTAATCCCAGATGTCAGATGACAGAAAAGCATCAGCACAACTGTTTGGGTGTAAATGTTTAACATTGCAGAGGATGTTCTGAGAGCTTATTGATCAGACTAAGGTTTTTGTTAATTTATAGAAAATGGGCACTTTTTTATTAATTCGTTTATTAATTACTGTGGAACTGAAATTTATAGAGTAAATATTGAAAAAAAATAACTATTCTATAACTTCTTTGTTTATTAATTTAGTGCGGTATGAATGGCCATGGGGGACGTCTTTATTAGTAGCAAAAGCTGTAAAACTGGATAAGCCCGTCTTTATGCCACTGAGATTCTGCATCTGTTTGATCTGTGACGAATCAAAGTTGAAGAAAAACTTTCCAGTTGAACACTTTTTAAAGTTTCTTTAATCTTTTGACATTGGAGCCACATGATTCACTGTCATTATTGCAAAAAAAGTTATCCATGCTCAGACGGATGCATTTCCTCTCTCTCACAGCTGGCGCGGGCTGGTGATCTTCAGTGTCGCCATGGTTACACTTGGAGCGTTCATATTCGGCCTCACCACGACAAACTCCATCTACCAGGACGTCGTCAACTGAAGGGAATAATTTTCACGAGCCGGTGCTGCTCTCAGGCCTCTGGATGATACAAAGCGTCTCATGACCAAAGAAAAAAAACAACAACAACAACAAAGACAAACATCACCTGCTCCGTACTGACATGAAGGTCTTGAGAGTTTTGTTCAATCGGGGAGTCACCCCGTCATGCCGAGGGAATTCAGACGCTTCTAACAGCATGTTTCATATGTTTTACTGTGTCATTATTTCCAGAGGGGACACGCACTCCTTACGCCCCTCTGTGGATGTAACAATGACACGTTCCTGTTTACAAGAGCCGAAGGACTTAATCAGATTGATTTTAACAGAAGAATTGTACCACTTTGTGTAATTTAATTAGCATGTCATAATGTAATTCATGTTCAGTACTAATTATGTCGCTGCTAATAGTTTGTCTACTCATCAGTGTAAAAAAACAAACTGGATTAAGTGATACGTTACCACAGTAGGACAAAACATATTAAATGTATGTAAAGGCGTAGACTGGCATTAATGCAGAGCCAGGGCAGTTTGATTATGAGGTTTTCAATTATAGGGACAAAACAACCAAACATACTACACTTTAAAACTGATTTAAAAATGAGTTACTTTTTTTTTGTTTATTGGTTTGTGTAATTTATTGTGCTACAGTACAAGGTAGTTTGACAAGTGAATTTTAGATTAGATTGGACTAGATTAGATTATTTGTACAAATGAGCAAAAGCCTACAACGATATGCTCATTGAAGCCAGTGTGTAAAACAGGGTGAAAAGGGCAGCTCGGTATCTGCACAAATGAGCACCACCTCCACAGGTTTGTAAAGAGAGGGAAGGATGTAACCTACAAAGCATTCACTTTGCACTTTATTTACACGAAAGGGTTTTAAGACATGACAGGAAGGAAACTGAGCAAACTGCACATGTGACATTTTAAGTTAATGTGATGAAAGAAATAATTTTAGTTTTTGTTTGCCTCAAACCAAAGTGGGAGCTTTTTTTTTTTTTCTTCAAATATCCCAACACTAAAGATATACAGAGCACAGATCACTGACATGGTTAAACCACTACATCAAATGACTTTACCCCTCATCTTTGTACCAACTGTAACTTTAATAACCATTTTTGCAGTACATGGTTTTTTTTGTGACTCTGGTGATTTCATGTTTATGTAGTTATATTTTTCCTGTTTAATGAAACCCAGCAAGTACTTTTGTGAACACAACAGACAAAACAGAAAAAAGGGACTGTCAGAAACACGGGTATGCTACATGAGACTGCTGGACGGACATTTATCATAGTTGTGAAGAAAAACTACAAAATCAAAATTTCTTAAAATACTAAGTGCTGGGATACTTTTTTTTTTCTAGACAATCATTGTTATGATCATTTTTTTATGGTTTGGTGCTTTAACTTGTGTGTCAAACTTAATTTATCGATGATCAGCTGCATTTACGCCACTGATTAACAAAGCATTTGCTAATCACAATCATGTCCCTGTTGTCTCATAAAAGTGACTTGAAAATATGTTAATGGGAAGATTTGGTAGAAATATTTTAGTGAACATTCAATGCTACTTCAATAAATGAAGTGTAGTTAAAGCATGTGAATAAATGTAGACTGCTCAAATCTCATGAGTTGAACAAAAAATTTAATAAAAGACATTGAATTCACTTCATCGACTTACAGTTTTTGATCGGAGTTAAGACATCATCAGACAACACGTTTAAAAAAAAAATCCTTTTACATTGTTATTTTATTAACACGTCAACCATAAGGACGAAAAAAAACATTTACATAAGTGCCACAGACAGTACTTTATATACTTTTATTAAAGTTCAGCATCAAATATCTGGACTCAGATCTGTCTGAGTCAATGAGAAGAAGCTTTGCAGAAACCACAGGATGCAGATGGTTCTTTTATACACAAGTAGCTCCCGAATTTCCTGACAAAAATGGTAAAAATACACACATACCAGCAGCTTTGGAGAGGGTTTGTGACCAAATCAGTTAATTTCAATCTAAACGAACACAAATTTCACCCATAAAAACTGAGATTGAGGGAAAAACAGTTATAACCATTTAACAACTATGGGTTATTCATTTCTTTGTTAATTTGATTAAACTTTTGGGCACGGCCCCACCCCACAAAAAAAACAAAACAAAAACAAAGAAAGTGTTCTCCATTTGTTCTGTCAAGAGCCAGACACAGCTGACAGCCTTGACCTATTAAAAGTGGAGGTAACTGAAAATGAACAAGTGCAGTATCAAAGAGTCATTTTTACATCCCAAATTTATTTCCCTGAGAACAACAATAACAAATAAAGAAAAAGTACATTATCCGACTCAGTAAGTGGAATTTGTTATGAAAGACTGAAACATGTGGAGAGCTGGACCCGGAGCCCACTGAGGAACCATGTGACCTGCACCCTGAAACAGATCAAAGCAGTATTTTGAGTAACTGCGACATCTTCACATAAAACAAACCGACAATGCAAAAGCATTAATGCCTACCTTAACAGTCAGAAAAGTGATGTTTCCAAACATCTGATAAAAGCCAGCAATTTGGTCCTCATGAATCCAGGTTTGGTATTTAGTGGTTGCCTAAGAACATTTTAGTACAAGTAGTGCCTGTCATTGGTGTGAAAAAGTATAATTTATGAATGTAGAATTAAAGCTACCTTTAAGCCGAGATCCTCCACGAACCACTGGTCGCCCAGAAAGTTGCAGGCCATGTCGGTGTCTCCGTTATAGACGAGCGCACGGAGGCCCAGAGAGAGCAGCTTCAGGTACACGTCCTTCATTGTTGCATACAGCACTTTGTACTGCGCTCCAACTTTATCACTGCAACAAATACATACTTATCACGGAAATCTACCTCCCCTCACCCCCATTGGTAGTGTCAGCTGGCCGCCCCTCCCCGAGCCTTCTTCTGCTGGAGGTTTCTTCCTGTTAAAAGGGAGTTTTTTTCTTCCCACTGTCACCAAGTCCTTGCTAACAGGGGGTTGTCTCATTGTTTGGGTTTTTCTATTATTTTAGGGTCTTTACCTTACAAAAGAAAGTACAACAACAGGAGGCTGTTGCCTGATTTGGTGCTATATAAATATAACTGATCTGAAGTGAACTGAACTAAGATAATGCTTTAAATGCGAGGGCCCTGGAAAGTTATACTGCCTTTGAGAAAGGTGTAGATTTCTTAAAAAGTGAAACTTAATCTTCATTTCGCCTTCCATCAACACCACCGTCCACACCAGGATTTATTTGAACTTGCTGTTATTGGCAGAAATGCTGATATATGTGAGGATGTATACATATAGAAGCCTCAGTGTTTGAGTTTATTATTATTATTATTATGATGAGGAACAGCCCACCATTTGAGAGCCACAGTCACGTGTTTACACACTTTCTGGAAATCCAATAAACTTCACTTCTCAAATATCACTGTGTGTGTCTCCTATATGATATATTTAACTGACATTTTTTATTGTAACAACCAACGATTTATAAAGGAAAATGATGACTATTAACAAGGTTGCACAAACTTTCGCATCCCACTGTATTCAGTAAAACTGCAACAAAGAGGACTTGAGGTGCACACATAACATTATTTATCACCAATTTTGGAATAACCAGAAGATTTTGCCGTACCTGCAGATATCCCAAGGAGGCAGGATAGCTGGAATGTGCAACGCTTTCCTCACGTCACCTCTGTTCAGCCAGTTCATCTGGGCTGTGCTGTTGATGCAGGGTGGGACTTCACCCAGAGTGGTGGAGGAACTTCTCTGTGCTGAAAACTTCAATAAACACTATCATTAAAACCCAGGACAAGTGAAGGACAGACATGGAGTGCACGAAAACTTGTTTTTGGAGGGTTACCTTGTGTGTATGTGGGTGATTCCTGTAGTTCCTAAACAGAAGACTCATGGTCCTCTCATAGACTCTACTGGATCTTCTCTGACCTTCACAATCCAAGTAAAGGGCGTACTCATTAAGTCCACTATTATAGACGAGACCAAAGGCCACGTTTACCTGTAAAGGAGAAAGTAGTATATGTCTGAAAGACTTAAGTCAACATGAGAAATTCTCAGTTGATTAAGGCAACAGTGAACACGTTACCAGTACTGTGCATGTCTCAGAACTGGAGTTGTAGAAATTGCAGGTCCCATCCTTACAGCAATTTATGTTCAGGTCACGCCACAAACTGCACAAGAAACAGCTCTGCATCAGCTCTGTGCAAATGATCTCTTAACTTGAAGGCAGATTACTTCCGTCATATTTTTATATGAAGAATGATATTAAAATGTAAAAATGATATGCTTCCCAGCTCCTGACTTTAATAGGAAAAACAATCTAAGTGATCAGATATTTTTTTATGTAGCAACTCAAGAGAATTCATCTCGTGTGTAATGGAGCATGCAAACAATAAACACCATTTCTTTTTAAAGCCATTCCTTCATAATAAAACAAGAAGCCTTGGCAAAACTTACTCTTCTCCAAAGAGGCCGTGGTAGTAACCAAAGTAGATCAATGACTGGTCATTGAGATTAAAGCTGCTGAGGCCGTTTCCCACTGCAAAGCCCTGGAAACAAGAAAATGCATCATTTTAAACCACATCAGTGGGCACAATATAGAGGAACAACTTCTCCTTCATCATGAAACTACATTAGGACATAAGGCAGATGAAGTGTCTCACTTTAAAGTTTATTTTGGCTTTTCCCGTGGCCACAAGGAGGCTGAGTGTTGGCGCATAAATTCCACCGTAGCTCTCCCCGAAGATGAAGAACTTGTTCTGACTGAAGTTTGGGAACTTGGAGAAGAAATTCTGCAGGGCTTTGTAATTATCTTGGGCAACCTATGATAAACATTTCACATGTTTTTACATTTCACAATCACTTTTTCTTCCTTTGTAAAAATCTGCATTGGTTATTTAACACACTGAACTCACCTGGTCATCATCAGTTGCATATTTCTCATCATCAGAGTAGGAATATCCCACACCTACAGGAGACTCGACATACAGCACATTGGCAATCTTGTTCCAGCTGAATTTGTTCTCGTACAGCGTAGCCCCATCATCATTTACCTGAAAATCAGAGTCAAGACTTTTCTATTGAAATCCACTTTACTCAGTGCACTAGTGTAGTTATGCACACAGTGAGCAAACTCACATGAAATGGTCCATTCTCTGAGAGGAACCCATCCAGCGAGCTGCAGCCAGGGCCTCCGTTCAACCAGAGCACCAGAGGGTCTTTGACTGGGTCCCTCTGAGAAGTTACAAACCTGCAGGAAATCAGGACACAAGCTATCACAAACTCAAAGTTACTCTTTCCAACTAACTAGATAATCTCTTGTGAATAGTGAAAGCAGATCTGCAGGCAAGAACGAGTGTAATAAGGACCAATTGCTCCAATGCACTGTAACCTCAGAGCCAATACAATAATTGAGCTCAGAAAACCTTTGACACCACGCACACACCAGATAAGACCCAAGCTAGAACCACAAGGACAGTTTTGTTTGTCTGCATCAAAACCCGTGATCTAAAGCTTTCCTTGAAGTTCCTCAGTGATTTGGTGTTTACGTTCAAGAAACCTGCTCAACTGGTTTGTCTTTCTGATTCAGGATAACACAGGGTGCTGCTGCAAACATGAAGTCATGTTTACCAGGCTTACATGAACTACGCAAGGAAACGCATCATGTGGACAAAAGCAATAGAAGCATTTAGGTGTACCGCTTAGTTATTGAATCCAATAATGTAATGGGATTGTTTTATGGATTGTTGCGGGGCTCTTTAGTTCCAGTGAAGGAAAATTGTAATGCTTCAGCATTCCAAGACATTTTAGACAACTTTGTAGGCACAGTTTG